CGACTTCTGTGTATATATCTGAAGAAACCCAAAACACTAATTTGAAAGACTATATGCACTCCTGTGTTCATTGCAGCATTATGCACCGTAGCCAAAATACAGAAGGAACCCAAGTGTCCATAACGGACATGTGGATAAAAAAAACTGTGAGATATATATATATATTATGGAATATTTCTAGGCCATAAAAAAAAGAATGAGTTTTACCAAACAATTTATAAATTCAATGCAATCCCTATTAAAATACCAACAGCATATTTCACAGATCTATAATAAATACCCCCAAAATTTATATGAAACAAAACAGACCTAAGTAGTCACAGCAATCTTGAGAAAGAAGAAAATTGGAGGGATCACAATAACCATTATGAAATTATCTACAAAGCCACTGTAATCAAAACAGCCTGATTCTGGCACAAGAACAGGCATACAGATCAATGGAACAGAACAGAGAACCCAGAAATCAACTAAAGCCATTATGCTCAATTAATATTTGACAAAAGAGGCAAGAGCATACATTGGAGTAAGGTCTCTTTAATACATGATTTTGGGGAAACTGGGCAAGTACATACAAAATAATGAAAGTGGACCACCAACTTACACCGTACACAAGAATAAATTCAAAATGGATAAAAGACTTAAATGTAAGCTGTGAAACCATAAAACTCCTAGGAGAAAAGACAGACAGCAAAATCTCAGACATCTCTCATAGCAATATCTTTGCTATTACATCTTCGAGGGCAAGAAAAGCAAAGAGAAAATAAACAAATGGGACTACATCAAAATAAATAGCTTCTGCACAGGAAAAAAAAATCAACAAAATGAAAAAAGAGCCCACTATATGGGAGAAAATATTTGCCAATGATACACCTGATAAAGGGTTAATTTCCAAAATATATAAGGAACTCATAACTTAACACAAGGAAGACAAAAATTCCAATTAAAAATGGGCAGAGAACCTAAATAGACACTTCTCCAAAGCTGACATACAGATAGATGGCCAAGAGACATATGAAAAAATGCTCAAAGCCACTGATCATCAGAGAGATGCAAATTAAAACAACAATGAGGTATCACCTCACACCTGTCAGAACAAATCACCAAATGACAAATGCTGGTGAGGATATGGAGAACAGGGAACCCTAGTACACTGCTGGTGAGAATACAGACTGGTGCAGCCATTATGGAAACAGAGTTTCCTCAAAAAATTAAATATGGAACTCCCATTTGACTCAGTGATCCCATTTCTAGGAATATATCCAATCAGAAAGAATTGTATGCAACCCTATGTTTATAGCAGCACAATTTACAATAGCTAAGATCTGGAAACAGCCCAAGTGCCATCAGTGGATGAGTGGATAAAAAAGCTATGGTACAATTATATCATGGAGTACTATGCAGCAGAGGAAGGAACCGGAAGGAAGGAAGGAAGGAAGGAAGGAAGGAAGGAAGGAAGGAAGGAAGGGAGGGGAAAATCTCTTACCCCTTGAGGCAGCATAGAGGGACCTGGATAGTATTATGCTAAGCGAAATAAGCCAGAGAAAGACAGATATCACATGATCTCACTCATAGGTGGAATCTAATGAAAAAAAATAAGATGTTGAACAAAATAGACCCAGAAACATAGAAATATGGACCAGACTGTCGAGTCTCAGTGGGAAGAGATCAACTAAAGAACTTGTATGCATGAATGCATAACCCATGGACACAGACAATAGGGTGGTGAAGGCCCGGGGAGGAGAAGCAGATACAAGAGACGTTCCCTGCCCTCTCCCTATCTGCCTAGAAGCAAGTCATGTGTTTGGAAAGGTGACTCCTCCCCCTTCTCTAGCAGATGGACAGAAGTTAACCACTGGATATAACTCCTGACCTTACAAGCACCACAGGAGTCAACATAACAAACCTCGCTAAAATTAGCCCTTATCTTCCATTAGTTCCCACAGTCTGTCAGCCCAAGAAGCTGAAAGTTATTTCCCTTTGTCTTGTCCGGTCTCTAAAAATGTATTGTTCTTGTGTTATATAAGCCCAAATTCTAACCATCCCTTTGAGTTTCTCCTGGTTGAGTGCTCCTATATATATGTGTGTGTGTGTGTGCAATGCATATGATAATACATTTTTCTCTTGTTAATCTGTCTTTTGTCAGTCTAATTTATAGGGTCTCAGCCAATGAACCTAAGATGCAGAGGTGGTAAATTAAGTTCTTCCTCTTCTACACCTTCCAGTGTAACTTTAGAAATAGGATACTTCAATGAACCAACTAAGATGCTGACTAAAGTGCTATTAACCCCAAGAGATCATCAGAAAGGAATATGCATCTTTAGGATATTTAGCCTTCCCAATTAGGAACATGAAGTGAATCTCTTCCTATATGTTACGTAGTCAGGTTTTATAGCTTTCTTCATATAGGCCTTCCTCGTTACTTATTACTTTTAAATCACATTTTCTGTTTTTAGTTCAGAATGCAAACTCCTTCTCATTTATCTTTTCTAATTATTTTACATACAATATTAATTTCACATCCAGCTGCCTTCTTGAATTCCTTTCTTGAATGAATCTCCATTCATTCCTATAAAATGAAATTAATTATCCCTCCAACAGGGTCAGAAAATTGTGTGTGTGGTGGTGAGGACGGGACAAGGGATTCAAGTTAGATACTCACCTATCTGGTGTGTTTTGGCATACACCCAAACAAATTACAAAAAGATTTAAGAAGTTTAAAAATTTAAAATTAATAATAAAATCATGAGAAATCAGAGTTAAATATTTAACTAATTTGGGGATGAATAAAGATTTTCTGGACATAAAATGAACAGGAAAAAAAAACAAAAACACTAAGGAACATAAAGATTTAGTTATATTATGTTCACTATTTTCCAATGACCAAAGAAAATTAGTAGATAAACTTCAAAATGTGAAATGCATTTGGAACAGATGACAGTTAAGTAAGCAAATAAAACGCTCTTATAAAATCAATAAAACAAAAACCAATTCATACCCAATAGGAACATGGACAGAAGAAATAAATGGAATGATAATTCATAGAAGGTATCAAAAACCAATTTACATACAAAATATTCAACCGCACAATCCAATTCAAGTTGAAATGAGAGAGTTTTTTTTTGTGGTGCATTCAAATAGCAAAGAAAAAAAAAGCAAAAAAAAAAGCAAAGATATGGTGCATCTAGCCCAAAAGCTCAAGCCTGTTTGATGATGAAAGCATTATGACAGGAATATGGAGTGTTATAACCTTTTTGGAAAGCAGGATGTTAATTTGAAGTAAAAGCTTAAAAACAAAATCAAAGCACAAACATGTATTTGTGAAATACTGAGAGATATAGGCAAAAATTATGCATAAAGATGACCATTATAATATCATTTATAGTAACAACTGGAAGCAACTGCAAGGCCCCCAAATAAAGGAATAGTTAGTTTGGTATATCCTTCCGAAGAATACCTAATGGCTTGTGGAAAACTAGTGATCTATCAATTGAAAAAAATCATAACACAGACATAAGAAGAAGGGAAGAAATACACAAAATGTTAATAATGGATATATCTGGAGAAAAGAATTATGGATACCTTGTATTTCACTCTTTACACTCTGAGGAATTTTTCAGATGTTCTATAGTAAACATATTGTTACTTTTAAAAGGAAACACAAAAAGGGTTAGGTAGCCAATAGATAAAAATACGCCATCAAGTAGTGTTAAGAAAATTTTCAGAAACAAAGCAAAAAAAAAACCAAAACAAAAAAACAACAACCCTCCCCCCCCCCAAACACACACACACAAAAAAACACACAACAGTTTTTAAAATCAACAGACTTACAGCCGAAACCAGTTTGGCTCAATGGATAGAGCGTCGGCTTGGGGACTGAAGGGTCCCAGGTTTGATTCCCGTCAAGGGCATGTACATTGGTTGCAGGCACATCCCCAGTAAGGGGTGTGCAAGAGGCAGCTGATCGATGACTTTCTCTCATCCATGTTTCTAACTCTCTATCTCTCTCCCTTCCTCTCTGTACAAAATCAATAAAATATATTTTTTAAAAATTAACAGACTTACAGAGGATGTTTTATATTTTATAACTGAAAAATGTTCTTCACATGACCAACACCATTGAAACACTTTTTAAATACAAGGAGCAACTAGCCGAAACCGGTTTGGCTCAGTGGGATAGAGCGTCAGCCTGAGGACTGAAGGGTCCCAGGTTCGATTCCGGTCAAGGGCATGTGCCTTGGTTGCGGGCACATCCCAGGTGGGGGGTGGGCAGGAGGCAGCTGATCGATGATTCTCTCTCATCAATGTTTCTAACTCTCTATCCCTCTCCCTTCCTCTCTGTAAAAAAAAATCAATAAAATATTTTTTTAAAAAGAAAAAATAAATAAAACAGTTTTTAAATAAAAGGAGCAACTAGCAGACACCGGTTTGGCTCAGTGGATAGAGCATCAGCCTGAGGGCTAGAGGGTCCCAGGTTCGATTCCGGTCAAGGGCATGTACCTTGGTTGCAGGCACATCCCCAGTGGGGGGTGGGCAGGAGGCAGCTGATCGATGATTCTCTCCCATCAATGTTTCTAACAACTCTCTATCCCTCTCCCTTCCTCTCTGTAAATAATCAATAAAATATATATTTTTAAAAATAAAAGGAGCAACTACCTAACTTTTAAATGTCTACTCCGGCCGAAACCGATTTGGCTCAGTGGATAGAGCGTCGGCCTGAGGACTGGAGGGTCCCAGGTTCGATTCCGGTCAAGGGCATGTGCCTTGGTCGCGGGCACATTCCCAGTGGGGGGTGTGCAGGAGGCAGCTGATCCATGTTCCTCTCTCATCGATGTTTCTAGCTCTCTATCCCTCTCCCTTCCTCTCTGTAAAAGATCAATAAAAATATATACACTTTTTTAAAATAAAAGGAGCAACTACCTCACTTTCCCCGGCCTGCTGGGAAGCACAGCCTCACGCAGAGCTCTCATGCCATCATCCATGATCCAGGAGGCGCCGCTTACCTTTCTCACTTACACTCTCGCTCTCGATCTCCACGTCGTCGCAGCTGGTGTACTCGGGCGTGGAGGCCAGCTCCTCCTCGGAGCTGCTCAGGGACACCTGGCGCATCTTGCCCCCCTTCTTGGACTTGTGGGGCCGGGGCGGGGGCGGCCGCACGGACTCGGACTGGTCGGAGCTGAGCGAGTCGTTCCTGAGCATCGTCTCCATCTTCTCGCGCTTGGCCTTCCTGCCGCCGGCGGAGCTGGGGTCCAGGTGCTGCTGCTGCTGCTGCTGCTGCCTCCGCAGCGGCTCGGCGGCGGCGCGCCGCGGGTCCTGCCGGTGGTCCATGGGGATCGGGCTCCTGCGGGGGGTCGGGGGGCTGTGGTTTGTGGTCCTGGGTGGATAGGACGACGCCGCCGAGCCGGGCCCCTGCGCCTCTCGAGTCCTCTCCATGGAATAGGAGCGCTGGCTCTCCAGGGCGGCTCTGCGCTCGGACGCGGACCTCTGCCTGGCCGGCCGCTCCGTCCTCTCCATCCTCTCCATCCTCTCCATCCTCTCCATCCTCAGCGAGGCCGTCCTGGCGTCCTCCAGCTCGGCGTTGGCCAGGGACACGTCACTGTGCCTGCGCTCGTGCCGCGCGCGAGACACCTCGGCGTGGATGCGCATCTGCTCCTCGTAGGGCTGCGGCTTGACCGGGTAACGGGCCAGGTTGGGGTCGCTGCGGTAGCGCGCCTGGTACTCCTCCTCCTCGCGCCTCTGCCGCTCATAGTCGCCTCTGCTCTCCAGGTCCTCGTCCTCGTCGTCGTACTCTCTGGCATGCCGGTGGCCCCTCCGGCCCGGCTCCCTGTAGCTTACGGGCTCCGATGCTTCGTAGAACGGGGGCTCGCGCGGAGGCCGCCGGTCGGCGTGATCGGATGGAGACCTGGGCATGGCGCCGTCCGCCGGCGCATACTGCGGGCGCTCCTCCCTCTCCTCCCGCGGGTCGTACCTTCTGTTCTGGTCTCTGGACACGGACGGGCTTCTTTTCCTAAGGGATGAGAAGAGCAACGTTTAAGAAAAGAAGAAGGGATGAGAAGAGCAGCGTTTACATAGTTCTACGTTTTATTGATTCGCAGAGAGGTGGATGGATACATTCAAATGGTTCTTTTGCTCCTTTTAAAAAAAAAAAAAATTCATTTCAAAGTCACGCCGAAACAAAAGTGTTACTTCTATGCATTCTATGTCGTTCAGATAGGAAATGGAAAGGGTACTTTGGATACGGTTATTAAAACACGGATACACTCCAGAGGAAATGTACTCATTGGGAACTTAGGTAACCATCACATGCTGCTGCTGGAAAACAGACTTTATTCTCCTTTCCTTGCCTGGCTCCAACTTCAGCTGCCTCCCAACCTGTTATTCAGAAAACTTAAAAAACAAACGAACAAACAAACAAACAACAAAAAAAAACCATCTTCCTTCTCTCCATTCTGGCATCTTGGTGTGAAAGTTACTTAAAAAAGTAATGAAGTCAAACGGACTTGGCTCAAGAATTGAATACTCTCTAACTAAAGCTCAGTGTAGGTCGCTAAGGGAAATAAGCCAGTCAGAGAAAGACAAGTATCATATGATCTCACTCCTATGTGGAATCTAGTGAACAAAATAAACTGACAAAATAGATCCAGAGACACAGAAGCATGGGACAGACTGAAGATCCTCAGAGTATCATAAAAGCAGGCCTAGGGGGTCGGGGGTGGGAGAGATGTAACTCTATTATATGTTAATTTGGCTCTTGTTTTGGGCTACAAAAACCTACTCTTGTTTATAAAATGACTTTTTTGGCAAAATATATTTTGAGTATCAATCACTTTACAACTAAACATTTAGAACAAAACCTCCTTGCAACTTAGGGACGTCTAGTGATATGTTATATTGAACATCTAGTAATATATTTAATATCTAGTAATGTAGTTAACATCTATCAATACTATTATAGGACAGAAGTAGAATAAAAAAATAAAACAAAACACCTCAGTCCCTGAGGAATTAACATGAATTTTTGAAAGTAAGTAGGATATAAATGTAGTGAGTCTTTAATAACACAAGGAATATATTCCATTTGTTAATAAATAAGAATATTTACTTAGATAATTCGGTTCCAGTAAAAAGAATATTAACAATTAATTAGTCCTTAGCAAGTCATATACTAGTGAGTCCTTTTTAAAAATCATACCTTCAATAAATTGAATTCAGTATTAAATCCAGCAATCACTTTGTTCTAGAGATTATGAAATTTGCCTGAAACATGTGAATCATACTGTAGATAGTGATTTGTACTGGATTTAAGTAAAAATAGTGTATTTAGCACTATCCACGCAGTATAAAGCTTTAAAAAAGATGGTATTTTTTCAGATTATTGATTCTTTAAATGTTGTTCTATTTTTCCTATGGTCATAATTTCTGAAATTGGGATAACTATTGTCATTGTTACTTATCATGGAATTAGGTTTCTAAAAATATGGTTAAGTTACCTTACAGTATATTAAAGATATGCTAGAAGCAAAGTAAGATTTTATTCTAAAGGATATTTTTCTAAACAATGAAGAATCTAATATTAGTTACTCCAAAATATTAAAATACCTTGTCAAAACAATTTCTAACAACTATAGTGTGAATTACTGAATATTCTACTTCGACATATTTTTCAGGAATTGATGAAAATTCAACTACTGTATCTCTAATCTCTAGCTTCGCTACTGGTTTTTAAAAACAAGCCTTAGTATTTATTATTTTCAATTGGGAAGTATTTTATAGGTAAAATAATATAATGATAATTTATAAACTTCCCTAAATAATCATGAAGCATTTAACAGTATTTAATCCATAAATTATGATTCAGAAAAATGGAGCAACTCATATAAGGTATTATATTTCACTAAATCCTTCAAAGACTATGAAAACTTAAGTGGCAAAATCAAAAATTATGCCTTTTTTTAGGATAAAATATATTTGTGACATTATATAGTGCTTTAATATTTATGCCAATACATTTTATCAATCCCAATTTCTGTCCAATATGCTATCAGTATATATTTATATTCACTTTATATTAACCTAATATCTTTTCATCTTCTCTTTATTAAAACCTAGATTGTTAGAATCTTTTTCTTTTTCACTATATTATAGTCATCTTAATCAGAACAAGTTTATAGAAAACCTCATATAGAAATATACTATTTCTACTTTAATCAGAAGCATTTCTGTTCATTGTTTATAACTGTTGTAATATGGACTAACCACCAATCTGCATATTTCTAAATATTCTGGCTATGTATTCACACTTTATTGGATAGTTTGAGCAGGAAACTACCAATCAGTCTCTTTAAAATTCCATGTTTAAAAATTATACTGACTGATGGGGAGACTCTAAATGAAAAGATTCTTTCTCTATTAAAGTCACTTTCCTAATTTCCCAAAGGCAGTCTCAATGCATATATTATATAGTAATTCATTTCATTTTTACCATAGCTTCTATTTTAATATTTACAACATTTATATTCTTATGTGGTTTCTGTTATTATACCAACGATATATATCAATACTGACCACACTATAAAATAATCAAGTTTCTGAAAATATAATCCAGTAAACATGTAAAAACTTTTATAAGGACAGTGAATGATTAGATGGAAACTTAAGTGTTAATATTCATGTTTTTAAATTTTAAGACCTATGTATCTTTTTAAAATCATAAGGACACTAAAAGTAGAGTGAAGAATTAAAAATTAGGAATTTCCGTAAATTCAAATTTTATATTATTACAGTTAAGTGCTATGTATATGAAAATGTCTTACTCATAATCTTTATTATAGAGCTCATTTAAAAATTGTCATTTTATAAATGAAAAAATAGAACAACATTTAAAGAATCAATAATCTGAAAAAATAGCATATTTTTTAAAGCTTTCTGCATGGATACTGCTAAATACATTTAAATGATACCCCATTAATTCAATCACACATGCTAACCATCTAGTTTAAACATAACATTGCAATCAAGTGGTGAAATTTGAAGCTGTTAAGACACATTAAATCAAGGATTTACAAGAAGCATTCGATCCTGTAAAACGTGAAATATATAGTGTCCATTCCTATAATTCCTACAAAAAGCTTTTAACGAATCAAACCATTTATATTCATTAAAACCCATAAAACAGATTTATCTTTTATTACATATCACAATATTTAACACATTAGTACAGTTTTACCTTTTGCTCAACCAACGCACATCTGTCGAGCACGAAGCATCATGTTGACAAAAATGCATGAACACAGGGCCAGGCGGTGCTTTCACTTAATCCTTCTAGCTCTAGCAAAATCACAGGAGCCATCCTTAATCAGATGATTTGAATGTCTCTGTTTGCTTACCATCGTTTTATTTCAAAAGCCAATTACTAAAAAGTTACACATAAAACAACATGCATTCACGGATGGAGACATAAAACCCTCTAGGAACGGGCCTGTTAAGGAAAATGTTATTCTTTAATGCTGTCACCATGTGACTGTATATAGCTCCAGGTCAAGTGAGAATGTACCCTGTAAGGAGGATTATGGTACTTAGCTGATTAGTGCCTCACAACACTGAACACCAAATGCATCCTACATCCTAGGCATTTCTAGACAAAATACTCAAAACACACAGACTCAGAAATTTGTAAGACATGTTCTCCTACATGAATTATAATATTTTTACAATAGCAAAATTCATTGTGTTTGTTATTGATGAGTCTACTACACTGCTTTTCCTATGAAATGTATACTGGTAATGAAATATGATGGTTTAATAGGTCTATTCTATAATTTATTTTCCATTATTCAAGAGAATGTTTCCCCAAAAGGGTTATGGGGGCAGAAAGTAGTTGTTTCTGTAGAAATTTTATGAAAAACTGTGTTTCATAAACTGAAAAGTTGGTTAGACACTGAGTTTAAATCAAGCTTTGCTTATTCTAATTTATCACTTAACCTCTCAATGCCTCTAGTCAATCATTCAAAAAATAAAAATAAAAACAGAAAAGAAGGTAACACCACAGACGTCCTTTATACCTAAAGCCAATTATCTAGATGTTACTATTACACTTCTGAAAGTTATATTTAAGTATTCTAATACACTTAAATAAAACTAAGAAGAGGCCATTGTAGGAAGAGTGAGGAGAGTTGCACTGTTTCCTGCTCTCCTGAATCTCACATTTAAACGAGGGTCTAGGCATATGTGGCAGCACCATTCAACCATTTGTGCCGGATTCACACAGAATATTTTCCCAGAATGAAGTGTAGATCTTGGAGAGATTGTGAGAGGTGTGAGGGCAAATAAAGGCCTTTCTCCCCTCTGGGATTCCTAAAAATGTAGATTCTTGAAGCAGAAATGCAATAAAAAATCAAGATCATTCATTTTCATAGGAATGTTAACCAATAATAAAGTCCAACCACTTACATCCCATAGTTTTAATAAACTGAAATGAAAATCCCACAGAAGATTTGGATTCTTTCAAGCTGGTAAGTCCAGAAGATTTCAGAAACAACACTACAGTATTAGCCAAAACTCACATTACTTATTTTTCTTATTTGTATTTTACCATGACAAATAAATTCACAAAATACCCAAATTCTTAAGTAAACAAGCAAAAGATGTGCCTTCAAAGCATGAATCTTGAAAATATCAACCTCTTCATTCTCCGGAATACTGAATCTCTTTTGTGCTATTTGGTTCATTTGTAAGAGTGACTTGGGAATTTAAGTGGTTGTTTTCAATGATGTAGAGAAAACTACATTGCTTGACAGAGGGAGAGATGAAGAGTTAAAGAAGAGCTGTTTCTTAGTAACAGAACAGCATGAATCTTTGAAAAACAGACCTGCAGCTCTGCCAATTAGCCTGTCACTAACCTGCATGAGAATACAACTCAATCAAATTATTCCAGAGAGTGGCAGGTACAAAGAAAGCGCTTGCTAAACAAGATTTTTCTTGGAAGAGAATTCATAGTAACAGATCAAT